TCGTGAGTTTTTCTTTGAAGTTCGCGTCACAATCGTGATTCCCGTTATTCCGATATTCAATGGGACCGAAGTCAAATCGTACGTGCGTCGAGATGTGACTAGAGCCTGTGTGTAGTATAATTGAATTTAAGTGACTTCCGTTATACATATCCGGATACTGATCTGGCTTCTCACCTCTTTACGCGCGTGCACGCGTTTGCGCTGGTTACAGCTCAATTATTTCACCGCAACCTCTGACTGTTCGAGCGTTAAGCGAATTCACGCGTACCGACAGACAGAGGCGTAATGATGAAGTGGTGCTGTGTGATCTCGGGAGCGTTATATGACTTTATGAGCTTTCATACATAGCTCGATCGATTATCTAATAAAGTCATAATTATCGATGTGCAATGTTCTGCATTAGATTTAACATAAGTGCGCTGTACAAGCATAAATAGATTTTGTCACAGGAAATGAAGATAGGCACATCATGATAAACCGATAAACGTGTACTGTCACGGTGGAATTTTTAACGATATTAATGCTTCTACCTCGTATCTTAGCAATAAAACCAAAGAAACCTCAACACACAGCCCGTTATATTCGCAACATGTTCATGAAAATTCAATGGGCTGTAACAACGTGGGCGTACAGTAATAAAGCTGGACTGTGTAACGACACTGCCATTAAATGGCATTGCGGTCGTGAATACTGTGCCGCGATATGAGACCAGGCCATTATTCGAATTAAATTAATGCAACCGGGCTTTCTCGATGTAAGAAAACGTATGATTATTTTCCCATAATTACGTCATAAAAGATGACACCGCGCTGTGTCACGGTAGATTCATACATGATCGCGAAACCGTAGCGGGGTTTTGCAAGTTAATGACATTCCGTGTAATCGATTACTCAGCATATCGCGGGACGTTTAATCAGGTGAGGTGACTCAACGATCCACGATGAAAATTATTAATCTCTTTATATAAAGGCTTCACCCGTCGTAGATCTCAGCTTTAAATATCGCCGATCGTTATTAAATTAATATAACACTCGTAATAGTTATCTAAATATTATGTGTAAAACTCCAAGTTGATGTACTTGAGATTGATATTGTATAATAATTTTGCGATTTCTAATTTAATTTCTAATTATTTTGCATTTAAAAATAATCTCCGAATTAATATTTGACGTATTTACTACTTTATAACTTCACGTTTTTAATACTTTACTTTTTTCAATACATTACTTATTATTTAATATCTTTCACAATCATTGTTAAAAAAATTGTTGAGAAATAACATTTTTCATGTCACATAAGTTAAGACGAATGAATTCTGATTTTATAGCGGAAATTTGTCGACTTACTTCGACTAATAGAGAGGTGCACGAGATTTCCGTGTAACCGTTAATTAAGATATCAATCTGCGCGCTGCAAAATATAGGCCGGCAATAGGAGGGCGCCCGACAGATACGATCTGGAAACTCGGCCACATCTTTTCAAAGACGTCGTGCTGTGGAGCAAAACGAAAGACATCGATTCGCCGTGGCAGCGCATACATGCACCACTGCAATTCCGGTAGTGCGCCAAAGCAGAGAGACGGGGATAATAAATATCGCTTTGCAATCCGTAGTTTCAGAGACTGCATTGTGCAAACTATTCGCGCAGGCGTGTCGGGCGAGCACCAACGTGATCGACATTCCAAGCCCGAGACAAAATTGGGCCCCCCCGGTCTCATGCCGTTAGGCAGGTAGACAGTTCTCAGGTATTTCTGCAAATGCGTTCGCGATTACTGTACCTCGGTACTGCGAATCGCAGGATTCCTGCATCGTGACTCCTTATTACATTCGGCATTCTCGACGTTACGGCAGCTGCGAACGTCGTGTCGCTGCAAGCGAGTTTGCGCATTGCCGTGCAGAGGTGACCGCGAGACTGGCACTTTTCCCGAAATAGCATACTTCCGGCAGAGAGTCCGGGAGTTCGCTCACAGAAGAAGCTTATCGCGCCGTAGAAGGTAGAAGTTACTTTTGCATATTCTTGCGCCGCGACAAGAGAACTGCAGTAATGCACAGGAATAGAGAATGAGCATCATAAATCTCATGCTGGGTGACTTTTTCGGCTTTTATTTCTTAATCTAAAAGGAGAACATGTATGTATCTCGTATACATTACGTAATCTTCTTTTGTTTGATTTTATGATGTATCGGTAAAATATTGACATACATTCTTTTTAAAGTACATCTGTCAAATTATATTCTGCTTTTCCAGGTTGTTCTGATGTAACTTACTTTTATTGCGATTATATCCGGAGTATTATTGGCGGGATCTTTAGACTGATTTATTTCAGACGACTCTGGCAGAGTCTAGCATACAATCAGTTATGTAACGTAGAACATTTTAAATTATACGGATATGGACATTTTTATTGTTGATCTGATTTTACTTGTTTTTTTCATCACACTTTCTCGTATCCGAAGAAAGATAATTTAAACCTATAATTTTGTGTAAGAAAAATCGAAATTCTGTCTCTGAATATGCATGCTCATCTTTGTTATAAGGATAATTAACTATTCTACTTGCGACGTCAGAGTATTTCGATCCCCTTCTTGACTACAAACTTCATTCCTTGTAATATATATATAATGACATTTGAGTTCTGAATATAATTATGTAACTTCCACGAGCTATCTGTGAGCCACCACGATTGACGATCAGGATGTGCTTTCGCAAACTCAGTCTGATTACGTAGACAATAGTTATTCGGTTCTGTCAAATGTGCTTATCGAATCGTAACTTTTCTATCTAAGAGTTATAACGGCATAATCTTGTATCATGGTCAACGAAGAAAACGTACGTGCTAGAATATGTGCTATCGAGCTTATGTTCTTTCTAGTTGGCGGAGACAGAGTTGCCTTACGCGAGAATACTAATCCTAAAATACACGTGTCATGGTTGACTGTCATTTACGGAAAACGCACACGCAAGCGGATGGATTTGAAAATGCGAGGGAAGCACGCGATAGAGCACGTTTTCCGTATCGCGGCGTTACTCTAAGCAACATTTCTCTCCCGAAACTGCCTAGAATCTCCACAAAATTCGTCGACGCGGTTGTGAACTTCTGCCATAATGGATGGCGTCGCAATTTCTCACGACTATTGCCACGAAGGCGGATTAATTTACGTTTCTCGCGACCATTCGTTCCATTTGAGCGAATTATCAAGCGGAGGTACGAAAATTCCCATTACAAGCGCAATTATCCTCTTTTACCCACTTTGTTGTTTTTTTCTTCCCTCTGTCATTTTTACGAAGTTCATGAAACTAGCGCGTGCGGCACCCAGTCACTCGTTCACCGAATTAACGCTCCATTATGTAAACCGGTGAATTCCACACGCCGTTGCTACACGGCTCCCGCAATTACGCAAAGTACACCGCGTATCAACTGGATATTCCTCGCTGTTATAAAACGCCATTTCGGGTGTTGGCACGTTCATTCTGAAATACAGATTTTAAAATTTGCATGGGCGTGCATGATGCAAAGCCACCGGGTAGGAAGCGAGGAACTTGCTATTTAAGTCCAACCTATTTTCCCGCACGCATACGATGAACGAATAATGTATACGAACAGCTAGCAGGTACTCCGAGGTCCTTCCAGAACTTGATTATAACGGCGAAGAGAACTGCTTTTCTCACTTGCAATAATATATCAGGCACCAACAATAAGAATACGTCAAAGTAGTAAAAAAGAGCAAATACGATTGAGACTTTATCTTTGTGTCTAATAATATTTTATGAAATAATAATTTAAAGTGTCAATTTAATAATTGAACGGTTTTGCTGAAGTATTTAAAAATTCAGCGAGATCTAAAAATAATTTTATTGGATTTTAAAATAATTATGTAAGAGTCCTCAAACTAGTTGCTAAAATGTTAAAACTTTTTACAGCATTCATGATCATCCTGCTTTAGTTTTTTACATAATAATTTTGGTGATCCAACAAAACTATTTTTAGAACTAATCTACTTAAAAATCTAAATACTTCAACAAAATCATTCCTCTCATGCAATGTATTATAAATATGTATATAAAGCACCTCAAAAATGAACTTATTATGAAAAATATTATCCCAGCTAGATGAATTTTAATTAAAAAAAGATACAGTTATATTTTTAAATAATCACACGGAATACATGCAAAATAGAAGTACGCGAATTTGAAAAATCTAACCGTTTCGATCATAAATATTCGAATAAAATATTAGAATGGCGCAGATGTCGACGATTATTAAGACAGATTGAATGTTATTTTGCGTCACATGTAAGAAACTTTGATATTTTTTATTATGGAAACATTAGACCATTGAGGCAAGGGATGAAGTAATTAAGAGAACCATTAACTGCCAAATCCGATTTATCTACGACGATTGGCTTCGAAGTTTGGCAACGAGGTAAATGTTCCCGGAGTTTCAATCAGCCCTCCTTAGAACTGGTATTTTGCAGCCCTAAGACGTTCAGAATGCGATTATGATAAATTCTTGACTAAAAGTCGCTAAAGTACCCAAATCCTCTTTCGATAATAATCGAAAGAAAGTGGGAAGAAGGATAGTTTTTTTTTTACATTATAACAGTACACTATAGATTACTATGTCACGGTAGCTTGCATTTCAGAGGCATTGAAATAGCGATTTGCATGTAAAACGAAATGCGTTTTTTCTCATATTTACGAGAGGATGATACTTCAATATTCCTTGCTGAAATATCCGATATTCTGCTAATATTCATTTTTTTTATCCGACAATTATTAAAGCTTTATATATAAGTTTGATGAGAACGAGTCGGCAAAGGTATCATAATTAGAGTGCTATGCATTTATATATGTAAATGCAAAATGATGTACCATCTATATATGTAAATGCAAAACTGTTGTACCATTACATAATTTTTTGCGGATAATATTTAAATAATATATTTTGAATATTTTTAAAATTTTTCTTTATACTAATGCTATTTTTTTTCTGCATTGCAGGTGATTATGCATTGGACCATGTTTGAACGAAGCTGCGAACAGGTATGTTGAAGTTTCATTCGAACTTATTAGAACGTACTCTCGTATGAAATTTATAACGATATGAAGCTTTGGTTGGTGAATGTAATGGAGTATTGGTGCACTACAGTGTATTACCATACAATAATACCGGAAGTATTGTCAACAATATGCCGCAATATGCACACGTCGCTTACTTTTCGATTTCCGTTGAAAAAAAAATTGAAATGCAATTCTCCTTTATGACGTTATATGCGCGTATTGTCGTCAATGTAAACCGTTCAACGTGACGGGCCCTATTTGTCCCGGGAATATTTTCGTTGTTTGGCAAAATGTAATTTCCTTGCGGCAAGGGCCACGGCGCTTTGGAAAAGAAAAAAAAAGCGAAATATCGAATGCGAATAATTCAAATGTCATTTCTCAGTCGGATTTGTCGGTCCGGTACCCGCATACTGCCAGACAATATATTCGATAAAGTGCCGAAAGCAATCGCCGTCACCCATTCGGCGCAAAAAAAAAGCTTATTTATGGAGCACTCGTCGATATCCAGCCTAACTTTGATTGTCAACCCAGCACTCTTATATTGTCACAGTTTCCTATCGTGATGGACATAGACGATGATCCATATCGTTCAGATTGTTAACTAGTATTCCTCACGGATTTGGCGCGTTCGCTTTCGTGAAAATATTTCCGCTTCGTGTAGAAGAATGCATCTGTCCATCCGAAATTATATCTTGCGATACATCGCGATGGTATCTCGCAAAACAACCACGGTGCTCGCTGGTGATTTAATTAAATTGTCTGTTTTCCGGTAACATGTAATTGAAATGCAACTTTTAGAACGTCAATATACAACAAATGTACATGTACATTTGTGCACATGTAGAAATATGTTCTCCACAGCCGCGAGAGAGAAAATATCGTTGAAACACACAGCTTCGTTTGAACAGAATAACTATTAGCTCCCGCTTTGGCTTTCCGCGTTTTATTTTATGATTTTTGTTTGTATTAAAAAATTTACAATTCTGAAACTTGTGCACATATATCTGTGCGGTTTAACATTAAATAATAAACAGGGCTTGCCGCACGATAGCATTCATTTCATTTTTTAACCGTAGATTTATTTATGTAAGGATAAGGATTTGTATATGTATATTAGCTCGAGTTCTGCATTAGGTATGTATTTTCCAATCTTTTATTTGACAATATTTGCCATCGATAAAGCAGGCTTGTAAATTTAGCTGAAAATTTCGGTTTGGATTCGTTAATCAATAAATGGTCAAATATCTCATTATTGCTGCGAATAGGGAATTAAATTACCTATATGATCGTTTATTGATTAACGAATTGAAAGCGGGTTACAAGCCCGCATTTACGAGTGCTCTTATCTAGAGAAAGCTCATTTATTTCAATGCAATTGCAATACAGTTGCGATAATTACTCAGCGATCTTAATTCCTTCGTAATAATATCCCTTTAAAAATACAATCATTTTAATTTATAATGTTACTTTGTGAAATGTTAGATATAAAAAAAGTATTTTATGCAGTTTAACATTACTTTACATTTCGTATGGTAATATAAAATTACGTATGAAATTATATCGAATCTCCAAAGTTCTCAGTGACTGTTAACGCATTTTTTATTGATACTTTTTTCATGTTTTTCTGATTATTCGTAAGTACATATCCTTCACAAGTGCCATATAAATAATTTAAAAACTTGACGTATAAAAGCCATTTACGTGGAAATATTGTTCATTATTTCCTAAAAACAAAAAAACCACAGTAACCCGCTGGTGGTCAAAAGGAGCGAGTTCGCATGCTAATGGCGGCAATTATCGTGAAAGCGATGGCTTAACTGTTACATTTCTTGCTTGAAAGAGTTGTTAATACTTCGCCCGATCCCACGGTGATAACCCAATTCACTGTTCGCTATACGTGACAGGTTGGGCTCGCTGCAGAATTGTACGGTAAACAATGCCAAAACTATTTTCGCGGGTCAAGAAGGTGCGAGTCAACTTGCCAGGCACGCGCTCGAGAAAGTCGCGTTTTTTTACATACGATAGAAGACACATACACACGCGTGCAGTTACTATAAATGGCTCGTTATGATGTCACTTGTTGTCACAGCCTTCCCTGAACCCTATTATAACGAAGAGTTCATCTCGTGGACACTTCTTTTCGCTTGCGAGGCTGGAAAGAATATCACCAACAGGGTTGATGGCGGCTTTTGTCCTCGGTTAGAGAAAACCTACAATTGCATCCCTCTGACCGATATACATTCGGCGAAACTAGCCTTTATGTTTTGAGCTACGAAAGATAAGCCCGAAACATTGCAAACACCAATAAGTCTATACAACATAAAATGCGTTTCCTTCTTTATATTTGATCTTTTCTTTCGCCTATATTATGTTAGCTCTCTTTTCGAAAATACTCGATTTATACGTTTGCTATATTATTTAGTGGAAACAGTGGGTATTTTGTGGTTTACAATTTGGCAAATGCAATATAATATTAATAATTAAAATTAATAAACCATCATATATTATTACAGTACGAAATTGGAGATGTGTATATCGCGCTTTATACTCTTTCATTGGAATAAATTTGGTAACTGATCCGAAAACAGAATTATATTGCGCTCGTCTATTCGTTTCTATTGCATCATGTATAAATTTGTATAATTTGAATCAATTCTGCACTTGGAATAATGTGAACAAAAATGTTGTAAAATTAATAAATACTTTATTTAATTGAATTAAGTATTTGCAATCATCCAAGTAAAATGATTTGTTAATTACTAATTTTATTCGAAGCATTCTTAATTATTAGATGAAATAATATCTTATCCTTCAGAATATATCATAGCGATAGAATAAACACATATTCAATCTGGATTTCAAATACACCATTAATATTTGCGCACTTTCGTAAGATATACGAGCGAAGTTCCCTATTTATATTATTCTTATATTTACTTAGTAATGCAATCAGATTCTACATTTTAACATACATTTTGTAAATTTAAAATAAAAATTACCGATTGAAAAAGGGGAAGGAGAGAGGGGGGAGGGAGGGAGAAGATATATTGACCAGCGATATTTATCGCACTGTTTCTATATTTGTTTGTAAAATATAGCATATTACAAGCAATTGTGAAAAATTTTGCAACACAAATCTGTAATATCGATATTGGTCGAGAATATCTCTGAACTACTATATTCTGAATTTTCTTTCATTTGTAACATTTTAATGCATGTACATGGAAATAATGATTTTGTTGAAGTATCTAAAAATTTGGCTAGATACAGATCTGAAAAAATTTTGTTGGGAATTTGCATATGAACATTATTTATCCGCTTTGATTGAAAAAAGAATTTTTTTTCTATTATCTGATTTATTTTTATAGTCAATTTTCACTTGTAATTTTTTATTAGACTACCAAAATAATCATCTAGGACACTCAAATTAATTGCTATAGAATATCAAAACTTTTTGAAACATTGCTCACCATGCTTAAGTTTCTTAAATAATTATTTTAATGATCCAATAAAATTATTTTTTTTAATTTGTATTCTTTAGATTAGATACTTCAGTTGTCCTTTTCGTATAAATATTAAATGTGCAGAATGTTTGTTATTTCTATAATTTTCTAGACGCTTTTATTTGCGAATAGTAGAAGTAATTGACTAACATGAAGCACAGCAAAAAACGGTAGATACTTGTGGACATGGTAGAATAATTAGTAGGTCAAATGATGAAGAAACAATTCGTGAATGTAAATTTTGAGGTATGCATTATCTTGACAAGATGGGGTCTTCTCAAATTACTGACATTTGCAGTTCGTGTGACCACCAGTTTCCTCGCAATGTGTTAAGATTAACCATTACGATCGATTCGTATTGGCTGATGTGTACATAGACGATATTATCAACAGATAAATACAGTCGCGAGATAATTGTCGGAAAAAGAAGATAACCCTCAGGACAGTGCATAGCGCTGTATGACGTCGGTCCAATTATGGGCAGATTGCTATCACGCTTTTGAAATCGACACTTTGTGCAACGCCCATGGGAATCTCAAACGTCCCCATGCTCACACGTTTTTTTTTTTATCATCGACTTTGTCGGTCCGCCAGCGTAGATAGTCAGCCTCCGATATTAAATTCTAGAGATGCGAAATGCCGCTGAAACGATTGCACCCGCGGTACGTTCTATTTCGCGTGAATATCGAGTAGCAGCCGGCGAGAACAGTCTCGATCGCGAGTTATTGTCTGTTACCGACGCCTTCGAGTCTCGTCGAAATTTCTTTGCGGTCCTCTATCTAAGCGTAATATGACTTGTGCGCTCGGGACTCATTGATGATGTTCTACCAGCGCGCATGTCATTCGAGATATTAAGAAGAAAAGGGAGAAACGCACTTCTTCGCGACATCTTACAATCTCTCTCGTGTAAACGTTACAATGCGTTCATACATGAGTCTGTGTTAGTCAGCTCCCTTTAATCACCGACTGTGCTGTCCCTTTCAAGCTGTAGATTATATGTTAGGAGAATCAGGATTCAAGATAGTAGACAGCTTTGAAAGCTTTCCATAGCATTACTCTCCTTCTCATTTATCTGGGTTTCTACCAGTAGGATTTATATTAAAAGACTATCTAGTTTTGGGCATCTAGTTGAATACTCAAGCGTGACATATCTGGAATAAGAACCCAGCCTACTATATGTAACAATAAATGTATACACGAGAAAAATGATGTTATATTAATAGCATTATTTTAATTGAAAATAATCTTGTTGATTTACAATAACAGTATTAGCGAAACAAAAAGTTTTAAAACTGTGTGAATTAACAAAATTATTTCCAATTAAAGTAATGCTGTTGATATTTTTCAGTGTATCCGTACTACATAGGGATAACTGGGTCCTTGTATTTTTTCTTTTTGATTGTGCGGCGCAACAAAATGATTGTCCCACGCGAGCGCGTCCCGAGCGATCGAGTGATCGATCGATCGATAGGTCAAGTC